CCCCCCGGTCCCTGACATCAACCCCCCCTGTTCCCCTCTCCAGAGGTTCCTTCCTATTTTGTGTTTTCTACCAATCTGAAATTTTCGGACCGGCGAAAACATTTTTGTGTCTTCTTATCTAATGAAGGCCTCTTATATCACGACCAGCAGACACTGATGTCGTCTCAACAGTTCAACAGCAAGGGTTACAACTACGGCTTCGTCGAGTTCGATGATCCCGGTGCTGCTGAACGCGCCATGCAGACTCTCAACGGCCGCCGCATCCATCAGTCGGTAAGTTTCCTCTGACTGAGAAATAAGGTGGATAAGGCCTTGTTGAATGTACTGACGGTGCCGCTCTTCTCAGGAAATCCGCGTCAACTGGGCCTACCAGTCCAACAGCACCAGCAAGGAAGATACCTCCAACCATTTCCACATCTTTGTTGGTGACCTGAGCAACGAGGTGAATGATGAGGTCCTGACTCAGGCCTTCTCTGCCTTTGGTTCCGTCTCCGAGGCTCGTGTCATGTGGGACATGAAGACTGGTCGCTCCCGTGGCTACGGCTTCGTTGCCTTCCGGGACCGCGCCGAGGCCGACAAGGCTCTTAACTCGATGGATGGCGAGTGGCTCGGCTCTCGCGCTATCCGCTGCAACTGGGCCAACCAAAAGGGGCAGCCCTCAATCTCACAGCAGCAGGCCATGGCCGCCATGGGCATGACCCCCACCACTCCCTTCGGTCACCACCACTTCCCTACCCAGGGTATCCAGAGCTACGAGATGGTCGTGCAGCAGACCCCACAGTGGCAGACTACCTGCTACGTCGGCAACCTCACCCCTTACACCTCTCAGGGCGACCTCGTGCCCCTGTTCCAGAACTTCGGATATGTCCTCGAGACTCGTCTCCAGGCTGACCGTGGCTTCGCCTTCGTCAAGATGGACACGCATGAGAATGCCGCCATGGCTATTTGCCAGCTGAATGGCTACCAGGTCAACGGCCGTCCTCTGAAGTGCAGCGTAGGTTCCTCTTTCCGTTCCACTGTCTTTTTATTTCTTTTGCTTTACTAACTTGGAACTTATCAGTGGGGCAAGGACCGACCTCCCACCGGCCAGTTTGACAACTTCTCCCCGCAGCAGGCCGCTGCTCCTCCGTTCAACAACGGCCCGGGCTTCTTCCCCCAGTACGGAGGTCCCGCCAATCCCATGAATCAAGGTAGGCATTCGTTTTCTTATCTGTGTATTTCCCACCTTTCTCACTGACTGAAGAGGCGTAGGTCCTGCCCCTGCTGGCCGAGGCTGGGACCAACAAGGCAACAACTTCGGTGGCCCCGGTATGCCTGCCCAGGGCTATGCTCAAGGAAACGCCGGCGGCTACGGTCGTGGCCAGCCCATGTCCCCGTCTGGTAACTGGGACCAGTCCAACAACAACTTCAACGGAGCCTACCAGGCGTAGATTCTCCCGTGCCTGTCCCCTAGGAGATGGATACTCACCTCTTTCACAATGAGCCCGTTACATCTCGACATTGGGACATTGGCTGGATCACACCTCACAGTCGTTGTGGTTCTCAAGTACTTCCCCCTCCTCTTTCTCTCCCACCACCTCCTCATTCTACGCATCTCTCCCATTTCCATCTGCTATTCATTTTTCTTTCTAAATTGCCTGTTTAAGTGGATTACCAAGCGATCAAAATGCTTTTGTCTTGAAATGGAATTTGTGTGTTGTGCACCGAATACCCCAAATCCACTTTGTTGGTTCGATCTTTCCTTTATCATTTCGTCTTATTCTACTCTGCCTTGCCTTTTCCTCCCCCGTGGGCATGCACGGACTGGTCCAATGGCTTGTTCTTGAATTGTTTGCTCGTGATCCAAAATAAAAGCGACCTCTCTGCTCCTACTTTCCTGGTTGTGTATCCCTGGACCTGGTCTTTATTCGTTCTCGTCAAATCTTTCGTTTAGCTTCTATTGCATTTTTCCCCCCAGTACGTGAATTGTGCTATATCCAAATCCGCTTCTCACCGTCCGTCGGTTCTGCTTTATTCTATTTTTTTCTAGGCCATACTCTCGCTGGTTACTGCTCATTTTCGCTCTTGCTACTCTAAAAGATATTCTCATCGGGATTTGGTTTTATCTCCTGCTGTGGTTCGTTTCTTCGCTTCCTTTCTCGGTTGTCAATGTCTCTTTTGTTGCACGCTCCCGTCTTTCCTCTACCTCCTTGCAAGTATCCGTATATGCCGTGATGAATTTCCTTGTGTGACTTGACACTATGGATTGGTCTGTGATTTGTTCTTTCTGCTCTGTCTCTCATGCCTGCTGGAGTTCTAGCCGATATACCAATTTGCTTTCGTCGCGGGGTCACTAGACTGTTGGCACTCGCCCATTCTCCAACATATCCCGCTTTCATGCATGGTACCCGTTTCGGTGTCACCCAATCTGTAGGTAGCCAATTTCAAGAGATATTGGGATCCTATCTGGGAATAACGAATAATTTCACCCCAGCTTACAAACTGGGGACCCTGACTTTCATGTAAATATGAAAACATGGTGGGCCGTCATTGGTTTCCTCCCAGCGGCGAGTCTATGGCGCCAAGTGTTGTTGCCTGACACCCAAGGCCCCAATTAGCTCCTGGGCGCATCTCCGTAAGCCCTCCGCCACGAGTGTAAACCCCAAACAACCAACGCGCCGACAACGCTCCCCTTGGTCCACTTTCCCAATGCTGGGGGACTCAACGCCGTGGAGCTGAGGTGCTAGCTCTCGGTTTCCACTCGCGCCAATGGTCGATGGCGCAAGCAGCAATGCGGAATTCCCAACCGTCGACGGACTACCCAATCGCACGCGATCTGGCAGCGCAAGCAACGGCCACAGACGAAGCCTATCCGGCTCATTACTTTCCAGGCTCTCCTTTCTCCGCATAAGTCAGGCATCCGCACAATCAGGCACAAAATCCCACGCCATGGAGCAGGACGGGGACAACGAGGGTTTCTCGCCTGCCATGCACATGAGCAGCGAGGCAACAACGGGCGCCAGGGCGATGTCGGCGGTGATACAGCAGCAGCGCAAAACCCGGCGGCGAAGGGGGTCACTCCGGAAGACGGCCCTGCTTGGGACACGGCTCGAGATGCGCGAGAAGCGGGCTGCATCCAAGTCTGCCGATGCGACCACTCCTCGTTATATGGGCGAGACGCCACGGTCTCCGAAGGACCAGACCTCTTCCGCAGCGAATGGCTTCGGGTCCCACGAAAGCCTTGAATATGATGCCGAAGACACGCAGCCAAGCTGGTTCCGCGCTAGCACAGCACAGAAGACTATCCGTTCCTCCGGAGCCCGTCGCCGACAGGGCCTTGCGCCGCATAACCTCCTTGGCGGCGAAGAAACCGGCACCGACGACGAGGAACTCGTCTCCTTCCCGCGTATAAACGCGACGAATAATACCTCCACCAGCACGGGCTCGCCGAAAATCACACCGGCGACAGCTCTACACATCTCCACACAATCCGATTACTCCACCTACCCCCTCCCTGGGGACCTCCCGACAGATACGCCGTATCGTACCGTACACCGCAAATCCTCGCCCCTGGCAACACACTCGGTGGAAATCAAGAGCAACGCTGATACATGGGACTACTCCGAGACTGAATGGTGGGGTTGGATCATACTCATTGTGACATGGCTGGTATTTGTCGTTGGGATGGGCAGTTGCTTCGAGGTTTGGAGTTGGGCCTGGGATGTAGGCGAGACGCCGTATGCGCCACCGGAGTTGGAGGATGATCCTACCCTGCCGATCGTTGGGTATTATCCTGCGCTGATCATACTTACGGGTGTCATGTCGTGGGTTTGGGTTGTCGTGGCTTGGGTGGGGATGAAGTACTTTAAACATGCCAATATCTCTGGGGACGATAGTTGAGGAACAGAATATCTCTAATCGAGCTATGGAAAAGCCAGCTTATTCACATTTTACAAATATGTTATAGCCTTCAATTCCCCACCACGTAAGGTGAATGTTTGGAACGTCAGTTGGGAGTATACATTGAAATTTTATAAAGGTGAGTTTTGATTAGCTGCCACAGCTTTGCACCAAATTCAGGCTAACCATGCAAGTGTAAAACGGCGAGAATCGACTGGCCAGCTCGAACCAGCAAAAGGCCAATGCCTAATAAACTCCGTATGCTAGATTGAGTATCAATTTGCCCTTAAAAAAAGACATTCCTTCGACGCTAAAAGAGAGACAATGAAAACGCCGCTTGTGCTTCCAATGCCAACAGAAACAGCATTTGCAATGAAAGTGCTACCGCAAAGTACCGCATCCAAGTCCTCACTTAGTGGGTTGCCGCATATCTGGCCGTGTGCCCGAGCCGGGAATCGTCCAAGCCAGGCCCGTTGTTCGCAGAGGGCGCGCACTTCTCTGTTGCATTCTGCGGGGGCACGGTGGTACCTGGCGCGGTGCTGACCAGGCCCTTGGAGACTGCATAGCAAGAGGAGCGGTCTTGGTTGAGATCTTCCCCGTAGAATTCATCCAAGATTGGGTGCAACAGAACAGTCTGCTTGTGGATCGTCACCACAGAGTTGGTCGGTACCTGGACCCAGTTGTCTATGATAGGAACACGGAGTTAGTTTTAAGAAATATTGGAGGGTATGGCAAGGCGGGAATCTCACGTCTTTCAAAAGTAATCGGCTCACTAGCCACCAACACGATATCAGCGCCTTTATCATGACGCTCCATCTTGAAGTGACCCTTGGTCTTCCCCTCCTTCCACTTAGTCCCAGAGGAGAAGTACAAGCTCGCAGGCTCATCCGTCTTGCTGCTGATATACCTTGTGCAGACAACGGTATGACCATCCGTCACCGCAAAATTGAGCAGACTGCGCGTCTCAACGGCGACATTGTGCTTGGCTGGAACTTCGCGTACCAGCTCATTGATCCTAGCAATGGTCTTCATCATCACTTTACGCAGAAGCGCCTGTCCGAAGCCCTCGGGACCGGGGTCAGAGCTCGGATTAGCGCCTTCCTTTTCGAGGAGATCAAGGAACAGAGCAAATGCCCACTCGCTGTCCGTGCCGCCCTTGACGCCCAAGTACCACTTGTCGGCGAGGGACTCGCCGAGGGGACGCTTGATGTAGTTCCACCCACCGATGCCGCCGTTGTGCATCCACATAAGGGTGTTGTGCTGGAAGGGATGGCAATTATTGTCTGCGAGAGCGCCCTCTGTGGTGGCGCGAACATGGGCGAAGATCAGATTCGAGCATGTCTTGGATGCGAGACGTTCCAGGTTCTCGCAGTTCCATGCTGGCAGTGTTGATGTAAAGATGCAAGGCTCTGGACCCAGCTTGGGGTCGGTGTAGAAGCCTACTCCAAAGCCATCACCATTGACAGGGCGTCGGTTGTCCTAATAGGCACTTGTTAGCTGGAGCCTTCCGTCTATGAGTGGTAGCTTCGGGTAACAGCTAGCTAGCTACGGGGTGTGTTCCATAGGTCAATTCGGACATACCAATCTTAGTCGCGAGTCATAGGATTGTGTGAGGATGGAATGGCTGGGCTCTGTGATAAGCTTGCTGAGACGAATCTCATTCTGGCCTTTGTAGATCTGTTGATATCTGTTAGTTCCTAGCTCCGAGATCGCCCAGCCCGATCAAGCTTCAGCTCACGAGAAAACGGCACATGCTGGGCCTTGTAGTTGTCGACTAGTATCTGGCTGGTGTCCCAAGTTTGAACTGAGGCTCTGTCTGGGGCTTTTAAAATTACTTTCAGGGAGATCTGGCAAGAAAGTAGGTTCCAGTGCTCAGCCTTCGGTGTTGATCAAGCGGCCGGTCAATGGATAGGTGTTGGTATCGGTGAAGAGTCACCGACTGTCGGGGAGTAACCTGGAGGATCTTTCAACACAACCGCCAACTTTTAAAAGCGCAATTGATAGAAAAAGAAAGATTTAACAACAAAGAAATCCCTGCAAATATTTTTTTAAGTCACAAATTCCTCCTTTCCGACCAACTCACTTCCCTTGCACAGCACGTCATCCACAGACCACGTGACTGGGGTTACGGAAGACCAAGCGGCCACTCGCGCAAGTCACGTTGATGTCAGTGGCCGACGATCTTCACTCTTCTACTTTACTTCAACACACATCTTGCATGCGATCCAGCGACAGCCATGAGTGGGAGAATTCTCTCCCACCGACTTGTTCCGCTCGTGCGGGCTGGCCTGGCACGCCATATTCACAATGCAGGCGCCCGAACCGGGGGTCTGCTACGTGCTGATGGTGGTGCCGCCTTGAGAGGACGCGCCTGGCCCATCGGCTCAAACGGCATTCACAACAATGTTCCTGCTGTTCGATCAATCTCATTTGCTCGCATGCTGCCAAAGCTGGCCCTTAAGCTTGTCCGTCTTCCAGCTATGTTTGGTGGAGCGACGATTGCGGGGGTCGCATATCTACAGTATCAAGCAACTCGTACGTCCTTCATCCGGATGGGTCCAGATATGTGGTTACTAACTCATTGGATATAGAGGCTGGAAATTATGCGGTGGATGTACTGAAAGTATTCGGGGAAACGGCGGGCAATACGGCATCGGGTATCTTCCAGGGCCTTCAGGATGTGGCGGAACAAACACAGCGTGGATGGGAAAAGACAACGGAGGATGTGGATCTCCCTGAATGGTTGCAGAAGATTTTGCGACTAGATGAAGAATCAAAGTCTCAGAAGGAGGGTTCCGGTGGAGGCGGCAAGGAGCCAAAGGAAGGTCGAGCAGTGGGAGCTGCGGCTGCGACTGGCGCTGCCTTTGGCTACGATCAAACAAGCGAGGAGGACTCACGACCCGATAAAGAGATCGCCGCTGATGATCAGATGATGGTCCTCACACGGAAAATGATCGAGATCCGAAACATTCTTCAATCAGTCGGCCAGTCCGGAACTTTGACTCTGCCTTCGATCGTGGTCATCGGATCTCAGTCTTCAGGCAAAAGCTCAGTATTGGAAGCCATCGTCGGACATGAGTTCTTGCCAAAGGGCTCAAATATGGTCACTCGTCGCCCGATTGAACTCACCTTGGTCAATACCCCTAATGCCCAGGCTGAGTATGGCGAATTCCCTGCTCTGGGCCTTGGCAAGATTACGGACTTCTCTTCGATTCAGCGCACCTTGACCGAGCTGAACCTTGCCGTCCCAGAAAAGGACTGTGTCTCGGACGATCCTATCCAATTGACAATCTATTCACCGAATGTTCCCGACCTTTCTATGATTGATCTCCCGGGTTATATCCAGGTGGCAGGCCACGATCAACCCCCAGAGCTCAAGCAGAAGATTGCCGATCTTTGCGACAAATACATTCAAGCCCCCAACATCATTCTGGCCATTTCGGCAGCTGATGTTGATCTTGCAAACTCGACCGCACTGCGCTCCAGTCGTCGCGTAGATCCCCGTGGCGAGCGAACCATTGGTGTGATCACAAAAATGGATCTCGTTCCTCCGGAGCGAGGCCACGATGTTCTCACTGATCAGAAGTACCCACTCCGTCTAGGGTACGTGGGTGTCGTGAGCCGCATCCCCCAGACAAATGCCCTCTTTTCTCGAGGCTCTGGAAATATTACCAGTGCTATTCTCAAGAACGAGAATGCTTACTTCTCGGCACACCCATCCGAGTTTGGACCCCACTCAGATACTTCTGTCGGTGTGACGACTCTGAGGAAGAAGTTGATGCATGTCCTTGAGCAGACCATGGCATCTAGCCTCGCGGGAACCAGAGACGCTATCAGCCAGGAACTTGAGGAAGCTACATACGAATTCAAGGTGCAATACAATGACCGGCCCTTGAGTGCTGAGTCATATCTTGCCGAGAGCCTGGATAGCTTCAAGCATTCTTTCAAGGCATTTGCCGAGGCATTCGGTCGGCCCCAAGTTCGTGAGATGCTCAAGGCTCAACTGGACCAGCGGGTTATGGACATCCTGGCTCAGCGTTATTGGAACAAGCCCATTGAGGATCTTAGTCCAAAACAGCCTGAAATAGACCCCCTCACGGCTCTACCAAAGGCCGATCCCGAATCGTTGTACTGGCACCGGAAGCTTGATGCTTCCAGTTCTGCTTTGACCAAGCTCGGCATTGGCAGGCTTGCCACCACTGTCGTTGCTAGTGCTCTCCAGAATCACGTGGACCAGCTCCTTGCCTCGTCCACGTTCGCTTCCCACCCAGAAGCGCACAAGCAGATCACGGATGCCTGTAATAGCATCTTAAATGACCGGTTTTTCAGCACCAGTGACCAGGTTGAGAACTGCATCAAGCCATACAAGTTCGAGATTGAGCTTGAGGACTCAGAGTGGGCCAAGGGTAGGGAAAATGCGAGTAAGGTTTTGAAGGAAGAACTTCGCGCCTGCGAGTCAGCTACGAAGCATGTGGAGGATCAGATTGGAAAGCGCAAGTTGAAGGATGTGATGTCATTCATTGACAAAGTTCTCAAGGGCGAGGTGGTCCTGGAGGGCAACGGCGCGGGCGGCGCTGGTGGCTTCAGCGCCGACTTGTTGGAAAGAGGTAAGCAAAATTACCCTAATTTTACACCGTACTCGGAATTCAGGATTGACCATTTTTCTTACAGGCCGAGAGGGCGTCTTCCTCCGTGATCGAGCGGATATCATCAAAATGAGACTCATGGCCGTTCGATCCAAGCAATGTGCCACGCAAAAGAACAAATACTATTGCCCAGAGGTCTTCCTCGATGTCGTCGCCGACAAACTCACTTCAACGGCAGTGCTGTTCCTCAATGTGGAACTTCTCTCCGAATTCTACTACAACTTCCCCCGTGAGCTCGACGCACGACTTGGCCGTCACCTCTCCGATGCCGAGATCGAGCGTTTCGCTCGCGAAGACCCGCGTGTCCGTCGTCACCTCGACATTATCCGCAAGAAGGAGCTTCTCGAGTTGGCTTTGCAGAAGATTGAAGGCATCCGCCAGCTGGACGGCCGCAGCATGCATCGGAAAGCGGATCGTGCGCAGGCCGCAAAGGATACTCGCAGTCGCTGGAACATTTTCTGATGAATGTCTTGTCATGACTTGTCTCTTCATTCTATCTTGCCCCTCTCTGTTTACCCTGTTTGATACCTCTTCTATCCCCGGTCTTTGTAATTGTGATACCTTTCTCTCCTCCCACACTTTTTCACAGCATCATACATTGCTCCCCCTCCTTGATTCCGAGTCTACCTACTGGTCTCCGCTCTAATCGTCCCGTTGTTTTTAGACAGCTCCGGTCTCGGCGCTTTGTACATATTTCACCCTCTTTTTCGATTTTATCCCTTATAAAGCACTCTTTACTATGGTCGAATCATATTGTAAATAACTCGAGATGAATGTAGTCGATTGCCGTATGCTTGAAATAAACGCCTAATCTTCTAGAAGTACACGTAGGTGGTGGTGGCTTCTGAGGCAATATCGCTTATCGCTTTTACAAATGCTGGAATAATTGACATGCCGGTTCTCCATAGACCGAGTCAGTCCTCTCTAACCAGCGTTTGGAATCCAAGAATCATAGAGCAGCACTATAGAAAGAAAATTCATTGGATAAGTATGGCGAGTTGCAGACAACAACGTACCATGACCTGGTCTATCTATACCCATAGCGTACAACCCAAAGAAAAGGAGGAAAATAGAATTCACAGGATACAGAGAAAAAAGAGGGCCAAATTATTGCTTTTCCTCTCCAATCCCCAGACCAAGCGGCGTCTGGAACATCCCATGTTGGGAATCTGGGGTGGCAGTGGTCATACAGAGTAAGAAGTCAAAATGGAAGAAGTGGGCAGGTACCAAATGGCAGGTCATCACAAACAAGGACAAGTTATGGAAATGTCTATCACAGGGGTGGGTAGGAAGAGAAGCAACGAGGGCATGGAGGTGGCGTGGCGTTTCGAGACGGAACACAAGACATGTAAGTTTGTGCGTTGAGACAATGAAAGAGGTTAGGACATGGACAGCCGCATCGAGGACGGCGGTCACAAAAGGCATGGCTTGAAACGGAGTATTTACTCCCGGGAGACATCACGGCCGAAGAGACGGGCCTTGATCCAGTCAACAGCGACGAGAACACGGTTGCGGGCTGAGACAAAAGGTTAGTCATTATCTAGAAAGTTGTTGTGATGGGAAAACTCACAGCTGAAGCACATGCTCAGGTAGGCGCTGCGCCAGAAGAGGTAGGTAAGAGTACCACCGCTGGCAATGTTGCCGCTCAGCCAGCTGATATCGGCAACGGCACGCTCCTTGCCAATGTAGGCCAGACTACCCTGGTGGGAGTACTGGAAGGGGCCCATCTGCTTAGTCCTCCGCAGCTGCTTCTGGCGCTCACGGATCTCATCGAAGACACGGTTGCGGTCCTCATCAGTCTTAGCCAGGGACTGCTCGTGGGACAGGGCCTGGAGCTCCTTCTCAATGGTGTCGGTCTTGGCCATGGTGTTGAAGAGGCGAGCCAGGAAAGCACCCTCCTGGCCGGCAACTTGAGCAGTAGGAGCATAGTTGGTAATAGCACAGTCACCGACGGCCCAGATGTTCTCAGTGCCGTTGACAACCAGGTACTCGTTCACAGCAAGACCGCGGCGGGAGTCCTTCTGGGCGGCGAGCTGGCTCATCAGGTCACGGACAACGGGGCGCACGGCGTTACCGGTGGCCCAGACCAACAGACCGTAGGGGATCGTCTCCAGAGACTTGCTGCCATCGGGGTTGGTAACCTCGGCCTCGATGAACTTATCGGTCACCTTCTTGACCATAGTCTTGGTGCGGATGGTGATCTCCTCCTCCTTGAAGGTCGATTCGGTGTAGTCAATCAGTTGCTTGGAGAACATGGGAAGAACGTTGGGAAGGGCCTCGACGAGAGTAACGTGGAAGTTGTCCTTGATCTCGGGAATCCACTTCTTCAGGTCGTCATTGAAGAAATCCTGCAGTTCACCGGCGAACTCGACACCAGTGGGACCACCGCCGACCACAACCATGTGCAGCAGGCGCTTGACCTCGTCCTCGCTCTGATCCTTGAACATGGCGGTCTCGACACAGTCCATGATACGCTTACGAATGTTCTGAGCATCAGTGACCTCCTTCAGGAAGCACGAGTGCTCACGGACACCCGGGATACCTATATCAGCATTGTCAGCATCGCGTCCCAGGATGTATATTGGTGTCGCATGAGGGTCACCTACCAAAAGTCGCGTTCTCGGCACCAACGCCGATCACAAGCATGTCGAAGGGAACCTCGGTGTGGGAAATGTCACCCTTGATCTCGGAATCATCGCTGATCAGGACGACGCGCTTCTCGTAGTCGATCTTGGTGGCTTCGGCTTCGTAGAACTTGACGGTGGCCTTCTTCTGGCGGAGGACGTTACGGATGGGCTCCATGATCGAGCGGTGCTCGATCAGACCGGTAGTACATGAGGGCAGCAGGGGAGTGAACAGGAAATAGTTGCGGGGAGAGACGACGATGACGTTGTAGTTTTCCGTGTCGAGCTTCTTCAGCAGGGAGACGGAACCCCAGCCGGTACCTACACGGGCGATGGGACATTAGTGAGTCAATTCCTACCCGTATCGGCCAGATGGCCGAGATTGCGACCGTAAATCGCAGTATGACATACCAAGAATGACGAGGGTCTTCTTCGTCGGATCGGGCTCGAATTGCTCCTCGGGATGACGCAGCTCGTAGATGCTGTAGGCCGTCCAACCAGTCAGACCGAGAGCGCTCAGCCAGGTCAGACGCCAGGCCCAGCGCAGAGCGCGGAAACGCTTCTTGGGCTTGGGCGCCGGCAAAGGAGTGGGAGCAGCATCGGCGTAACCGCGGCGAGCAACGCGTGCGATAGACAGGCCATTGGACCGAAGCGGCTTCGGGCGGAGGGCCTGGGAAGTGGTCGCAATGGTGCGGCGCGAGACGGCCGACAGCCTCATGATGGAGGGAGAGGCCATGGAGCGCATTGCTAGCGTGGTGCCAGCCATGAT